GAGAAATCACTGCAATGGCCTTTAACAGCGATTTCTAAGTTAATTTTAACCTTCTTTCGGCCTGTTTTGGCGCAGAATACTAATTACAACGAAGTGCTATTTCTATTTTTTGTTTTTATTCATTTTTATTGGCGACAGAAGTACGTGTATTTTCAGAGTGATTTTAAACATAAGCGAAGTTAAGAATCAAAGTGAATTTTATAGAAGACCTTCGCCATGGAGCCTACCCTGCGAGCACAGCTTTCTCTCTTGCATGGCGTTTAACTGCGTTTACGACGCTCGCGCGCTTGTCAGTCACGTAGTTTGTTTGTTTTATACTCCCCGCTCAAAATATCACATAGGCTTTTCGGGCGAAAGGATGACAATATACTGCAGATATAAGAAAATACAACGTTTTTCTAGAATCCACTAGATATTTGGAGATATATCGTTCAGACGAAGCAAACGGTAACACCAATAAAATTTCTATGCAAATACCACTTTTTTAAATATAAATTTTATTGTATCGACCTTTAATGCGCATCCTGTTGAAATGTAGGCACTGCTATGGTTTTTAGTCAGGACAAAACTTCTAAGTGTCTCATAGAATCAGGCAAGTGCCGAAGCAGAATAATGGCCGCGGCGGGAACGAGTAAATTCTTTTAATAAGGCGAAAATTCGCTTGTGCTGTATCTTTGAAAGTATGCTTATATCTCGGCTTTTTTAGAGGCGATTTAGATAAAATTTTACAGAGACATCGTGGAAGAATAGAAGTTTAGAACGGTTGTTTTTTAGTGGATAGATCGTGCCTCAGACTCAATATTTTAAGTCACAATTGTAAGTACCAATGGGAAATCGTGATTTTGTGTCTAAGTTTGTTGGAAGAATAGAAGACAGCACTGCATGACATTAAACTTAACAACTATATAAACAACTGAAGCAGATTCACAAATATACAGAGACTACAAATGGCCAGATAAAACGAACAAACAAGCAAAGAAAATAGAATTCAGATGTTTCGTGATTTGATCCTAAAGTACTAACGCATTAACTGAACCAATTACGGCTCTGACTATTATTTTATCCTGTATTTTTAAAAACATCTTGAAATAACGGCTTTGTGGAGAGATACCAAAAAGGGGGACCCTGATCTTGGTGATACTAATAGCGGGTCTTATAAATAATCTCAGACAGCTATCTTATTCATCTTAACAAGTGCCTCTGAGGTTACTAAAGCCAAATACATACGCCACTCAAAAGCGAGCGGAAAAAATATGAAGTGCATCTTAGTAATCGTTTGTTTGAATAGCTGAGGTATTTCGTGATGATCTGAAATTTAATAAAAGCGCTTCTTCTCGTAAAAAGAAAGCTTCGTCCTCCTGTTTTGACACCTGAGTCTCTATTCAAATGTTAAAAGTTTGCTTCATATCTAACTGTAATTTATTTTGCAGGCTCAAACACTATTATACTGACATGATTATTTTAAAAAGTCAAATAGTTGAAACAGGTCTGAACAAGCAAGTGTTTATTGTTGACTCACATATTTCGTAATTTGATCCGACTGGTTAACTGAACCAAAGGTCGCTTATTTCTTCCTGTTTTTATCATCTTGAAATAACAGCTTTGTGGAGAGATATTTTAAGAATCTTTTTAATCGCCAAAGAATGGCCGGATTAAATGATCTTCTTTTCTAGCCACAATAGAATACAGATTATGAAACAGGTTGATATATTGAATACACTTTGTACTGTCCAATCAGTCCCAAAAAGGTACTGAAGGCAAACGCTTGTTGTTTATTTCAAGTTTACAGACAAACGCGTTTTCGGGTGAGTGTCAGCGATTTTTTTTTTATATATGTACATGGGGGCCATCTTCATATTCCATCCCTTATCTATTTTAACGTTTTATTTTGCGCTCCTCAAGAAAGTTGCAAAAATACATTTTGTTTCAAATTTTACGTAAGATGGTAAATATATCTCCACTGAAAGGTTCTCAAGCATTACACCCGGTTTCTAGCTCTCAGCAATAAAGAGCGTCAAGACTGATTTCCTTTTGAGAAATCACTGCAATGGCCTTTAACAGCGATTTCTAAGTTAATTTTTACCTTCTTTCGACCTGTTTTGGCGCAGAATACTAATTACAACGAAGTGCTATTTCTATTTTTTGTTTTTATTCATTTTTATTGGCTACAGAAGTACGTGTATTTTCAGAGTGATTTTAAACATAAGCGAAGTTAAGAATCAAAGTGAATTTTATACAAGACCTTCGCCGTGGAGCCTACCCTGCGAGCACAGCTGTCTCTCTTGCATGGCGTTTAACTGCGTTTACGACGCTCGCGTCGCTTGTCAGTCACGTAGTTCGTTTGTTTTATACTCCCCGCTCAAAATATCACAAAGGGTTTTCAGGCGAAAGGATGACAATATACTGCAGATATAAGAAAATACAACGTTTTTCTGGAATCCAGTAGATATATCGCTCAGACGAAGCAAACGGTAACACCAATAAAATTTCTGTGCAAATCACCACTTTTTTAAATATAAATTTTACGACCTTTAATGCGCATCCTGTTGAAATGTAGGCACTGCTATACTTTTTAGTCAGGACAAAACTGCTAAGGGTCTCACAGAATCAGGCAAGTGCCGAAGCAGACTTATGGCCGCGGGGGAACGAGTAAATTCTTTTAATAAGGCGAAAATTTGCTTGTGCTGCATCTTTTAAAGTATGCCTTATATCTCGGCTCTTTTAGAGGCGATTTAGATAAAATTTTACAGAGACATTGTGGAAGAATGGAAGTTTAGAACGGTTGGTTTTTAGTTGGTAGATCTTGCCTCAGACTCAATGTTTTAAGTCACAATTGTAAGTACCAATGGGAAATCGTGATTTTGTGTCTAAGTTTGCTGGAAGAATAGAAGACAGCTCTGCATGACATTAAACTTAACAACTATATAAACAACTGAAGCAGATTCACAAATATACAGAGACTCAAATTGCCAAATAAAACGAACAAACAAGCAAAGAAAATAGGCCTTTGATTAATTCTAGCGCATGAGGTAACAACTTGGTTGAAAAAGCCTGAGAGCAAAAGTCTTAGAGCAATTACTAATATTATCACCTTGTCCGCTTTCAATGATAATTCTTTATTTTCTGTAACTAATCACACGCGGGCATCGTTGAGAATTAATTCAGTTTAGCGAGCGAAATACGCGTACGCGGGCCGGGAGAAATAGCGATAAAGTAATCGTCACTGGGCATCCATCGGACTAGTATTCTAAAAAATATGATGACGATTATTATAGCACTTCACTTCGCGTGTCACGTCCCTCTACCGTGTTCCTCAAGAATATTAAAGGACTACTGGCGGGAACACATTTCAAAAAGTCTATAAATTTAAAATTTATAAACATATTACTACTCTGTAAAAGGTCCATTTTTTCTTTTTGACTAGTGATTGGCCGTGGATAACAACGGTGATGACCTGTTTTTCTTTGACGAGTCCCGTCACGCCTTTAACTTAATGGCCGAAAATATAAAGTTTACATCACAGAAATTAATAACTTAAAGTTTCTTGCCCTCTTTTCTCGGAGTGCGACCAAAACGTTCTGAAATCGGCTTTCAAAAATGCCATATATAATTCTTCATCATTTTTTCTGAAAGGCCAAGACAAACAACCTATTTATTCTTACCAATCAGCTCTCGGGTGTTGACTTTACGGTACCTCTTGTCAAAACAGCGTTAAAAAAGCACGCGTTAGATCACTTAACATAGGCCACTCAAAAATGGTAAGCGATAAAATATGAACTACATGTCACCGAACTCAGTGTATTCAAGAATTGACACAGTTCGTCCCTAAATAGCCTTAATTACGATTATGGACTGGTGATAAATAAATTTCTTCGCGGCCAAAACTTTTTAAATTGTTTGTAACTGGCGCATATAAACCCCTTTTGTAGCTAAAAGGTCAAACAGGGGTTGTTACGCTCGCTAAACCGTCGGAATAAAACAGCCTAAAAAAAATGAACAGAATTTCTAAGCGTAGATTAGTTTTTGTAAAATTCTGTTCACCGTTCAGTTTTATCCGATTTACAAACGCGGAAAAAATCTAAAAAACAAACGTGCGCAGGAGCCTATCCTGAGTCCGCGTTTTACAAGTCCGAGTTTTACAAGTCTGCGTTTTAGTAGTCCTTCTTTTACTAGTCCGCGTGTTACTAGTCCTCCTTTTACTAGCCCAGTTCAGTCCAGTCCAGTCCAGTCCTCGAAATACAGTATGCCCTGTTTTTACATGTAATGTTTTTGTTTTGCATTGGTAGTCCCAGTAAACCTTTCTTGACATTAAATTTTAAATTCTGCCGCCAGTTCAATGTAGGCAGAATTTTTCTTGAAAAAAGACTTTTGACCATTTCCATCAGAAGCTAATTACATGTTGACTTATATCTGATTTCATCTTAGTCTGGCTATAAAGGTTCTTGAATACAGGGGTTCTGATGCAAATTTTAGCCTAACAGGTTCTTAACGTTAATATTACATTGGGCGGGGCCTCTAATAAGAAATGAGATATTTCAGTTCCAAAAGAAAAAACTGTTATGGCAGCCACAATCGAAAGTTAACAAAAAAGGGGGGAGCTCAATCTAGGTGATACTAATGGTGGGTCTTATTAATAAGTTAAGCCCAGGCAGTTATCTTATTCATTTAACAAGTGCCTCTGGTCATTAAGGGCACATACATATAGGCCACTCAAAAGGGAGCGGAAAAAATATGAAGTGCATCTTGGTAATCCTTTGTTCAATAGCTAAGATATTTCGTAATGGTCTAAAAATTTAATAACAGCGCTTGTTAATTCTCATGGAACGAAAGTTTCGTCTTCCTGTTTTGACACGTGAGTGTACGGTAATATTATTAAGTACTACACAATATATTCCAACACAATTATGTTTACAGACAACGAAAGCGGAAATTTTATTGCAAAATATCGATCCAAACCGCAGACGTTTCGTCACCCCAGTCTCTAGTTCTTAGCAGCCAAAATGTGGAGTCTACCAGCCGATGAACACACTTTGGACAAAGCCAAGTTCATAAGCTCTCCGTTTTGCTCATACTCATCGAGATGTCACCGAAAAAATGAACTAAGTAACTACCTCTTGAGTGTCGAAGTTGAAGGCAAAGTCTCGGTACTGATGGGACTCGCTTCTGCCTCGGCAAAGTATCGCCACAAAGAGGAGTCTTCGATAAAGCGAGAGGTGTTTTCTTTATCCTTGTCAGTTTATGCAAGAAAAGGTTATCTTGTTCCTGAAGCTCATACGAAGTTCTCGGACCAAGGCGGAGTAGATTTCGATGTTGAAGCGAGGGAAATTGGCATGGAAGATATCTTAATTGTCACTTCAGAGCACGAGAGGTAAGCAAGATGGGGGACGAAAACTGAGATATCTATTCGATTCTCTCGCTCTTAGCAGCCTTTCGTTTTAGTTTAATTAAAAATCTTTTTTCAAAACTAAGTTTATTAATAAATCTTTCCCATAACAGGAGTGAGCTTAAGCGTAAGTTCTTTGACTTCCAACATGAAAGACGGTGCTCTTCTCAGTGTCCTTGGAGCCGCGTGCTGCTTGCTTCCGCAAACTAATTATAAACAGACCTGGCACACAGGTTTCCGTACTAGGTGTGGAATTAAATGAAATAACGGGAAACCTTAAAGCTTATTGTTTTTTTTTTCCGATGACATTGAACAATACTCAAAAGTCTGCAGTGAAAGACGTCAATAAATGATGAGGCGACCTGCAAAGAAAACAGAACGAAACAGGGTTGGAGTAACTCACTGTAAACTGTAAAGTTTATTGAATTTAAAGTTTATTGTCATCCTAATATACAACTCTTTTTTGGAGATTAATGACAGGCAACTAATTACCCGTAGAAACCTGTACATATTTTAAATACAATTGACTGATATTGAAACTTTTCTTGTTCAAATTGTAGAGAAGAAAAGAAAACAGAGGATACAGTGGAGGTCAAAGTAACAGTACTCTTCTTTTCTATCTCCGCAAAGTTGGAACATATTCACGAGAGTTCGGAGGTCAAAGGATTTGTTAGGATTGATCATTATTCATCTCAAACCAGAAACTGGACGAAGTGGGAATTTGACGCTGATTCATTTGAAGAAGCAATGACCGAAGTTAAAAAGCTTGAGACACATATGTATAATATTCCAAACATTGTTAATCGTATGCCTCACACAAAGCTATTTGCCCTCCGCATACTGGTCACGCCAAATGTTGGAGACACGTTTAAGGTAGCTGTGTACCTTGAACTGGAAAAGATGTTAAAAGAACTTCAAGTAATGTCTGTAGCATCGTCCAAGTGCCCTATTGATTTCGAAGTTGACAAAATCAAACGGTCACTTAAAGACTTAAAAGGCTCTGGGATGGAAAAATATTTCTTGGAAAGGCTAGATCAAGTAAGGCAGAGTAAATCTAGAGCCTGAGTTAACTATATTCTGTCTAATCATTCATCAAGAACTCGGAGAAAAAAAAAACATTAAAATTAAACTATATTATTGTACTAGTGTACTCAAATAAAGCAAGGCATAGATATGAAACAAATCAACGTCTAACAAATATAAGAGGAGATACAAGAAAAATAAGGCAGATTATGAGTTTCCAATTACGCTTTAAATGATATTGTTACTTTTCTCTAAGAATTCCTTAGCTAATAGATAGGGAGAAGAAAACAGGAAATATTGATAGAGGTTTCTAATTGACGATCAAAACGGCTATTTAGCAGTGGTCGAAGTCGCAAGAATTACCATAGAAAAAGATATTGGATATGAAAGCTGATAACAGAATGAAAACAAACTTTGCCGCTGCAGTTTTTAAAAGTGTTAGAAACTCCCTGGCTGTGCACAAGTTTTGTTTTTAGTTCACAAATTTTTCTAAATTTTCACCATTAACAACAGCCGAGACATCAGCATTAAAGGATGTAGCACTAGCAAAACGAATTTTGCATGAATTTATTCATAGATAGGTGTCCCCCGCCGTCATAAAGGCCTTCCCTTAAAGGCTTCTAGGCTTAAACACAAGCAGTCAGTAATGAATCATTTTGTACGCTTTTGTTGATACTGCCTTCTTCTCCTTACGAGTTTCTTAGCTAATCGATGAACATAAAAGAATCGATAAAGGATATGTTTATCCACCACATAACTAGAGGGCTAGAATAAAACTGCTCTAAACAGGCGGAAAAAACCTTTGCATATTTCTCACGAGTCTTTTACGGGTGGCCCATGGGCTAACTCTTGTCGAGGTTTTTTTATATACCTTCTTTTATGAATACTAACCATTAACTAAATTTGCACCAAAAAATATTGCAGGCACATACAGGAAGATTGTACGATCGCCGTACTTGATCCAAATTTATTGCGCGGCATGCATGTGCGTAGGTACACGGAAAATCAAACAACCTGAAACTTGAGGCAATATCAGTATTTTAGGTATCGCAGAAGAAAAGGAAGCCGTCTTAATTCAGTCGCATCGGATATTGTACAAAGGAGTACTAGTCCAGACCAAAGTTTTAGCAAACAGCCGCTATATAAATCCCTTGACCTGAATGCTGATCGATCTAACAGCAAAGAAACGAAAATATGTTGCCTCGCTAAAACGCAAAACGAAAATGTTAATACAAAGCGTGAAAACTGAAAAATTTATAAGCAAATACCACTTTTTTAAAAATGAATTTTATTGCATCGACCCGGCTAGTGCGCATCCGTTTGAAGTCTAGGCACTGCCAGGCTTCTCGGTCAGGACAAAACTGCTGGTGTATGTCTCACAGAATCAGGCAAGTGAAGCAGCCTTAAGGTCGCGGACCGCGGGGGAACGAGTAAATTCACAAGGCGAATCATCTCGGCTCTTTTAGACGCGCTTTAGGTAAAATTTGCAGAGACACTGAATTAGCCGTATTCACAGTAGAGACGGATTATCCGTGGGATAATTCACGTCAGTCAGATAATCGGTCCTAATTTGAAAATGGACCGGTCTTAATTATTTGGATGCATCAGATCGTCCGACTTTGTCCATCTGCTTTTCCGTCAATTTTCACGAATGGATTATCCGTCTGAGACGGCCGTGTGAAAACGGTCATTGTGGAATAATGGAAGTTTAGGAGGGTTATTTTTTATTTGGTAGATCGTGCCTTAAGTAGCTTAAGCCCGCAAGGCAATGTTTATCAGAATTGTACCAAATTGGGAAATCGTGATTTTGGGTCTAAGTTGAGGAAAAAACAGTAGACAGCACTGCAAGAGAGAAAAAAGGCCTTTTATTGTTTCTAGTGCATGAGGTAATAATTTGGTTGAAAAAGCTTTTTGGCTTAGAGCAATTAAAATTATGACGATTATAGCTCTTCACGTAAGGTGTCACCTCTCTACTGTTCCTCAAGAATATTAAAGGACTACTGGTGGCATGGGAATGCATTTCAAAAAGTTTATAAATTTACAGTTTAATAACAATAAATTTAAACATTCGAATATAACTGCAATTAACTGATGACGTTACTAAAAAGAAACCTGACTAGAGAGAAAAGAAAATGTTGCATTGAGCGGAGGCCTCTGATAGAAGAAATGAGACATTTCAATCCCAAAAGAAAAATCTGTTGTTACAGCCGCAATCGAAAGTCTACAAAAAAGGGTGAGCTTGATTTAGACGATACTAATGGTGGGTCTTATTAATAAGCCCAGGCAGTTATCTTATTTATGCATCTTAACATAGTGCCTCTGGTCATTATAACGCCAGAACAAAGGATTACAAAGATACACCTCATGTGAATAGCTGAGATATTTCGTCATGATCTAATTAAAAATATTAATAAAAGCGCTTGTTCTCATTGAAAGAAAGTTTCGTCTTCCTGCTTTGACACCTGAATGTACGGTAATATTATTAAGTGGTACACAAAATTTTCACAAACACACAGTTACAGACAACGAAAGCGGAAATTTCATTGCAAAATATCGATCCAAACCGCGGATATCTCGTCACCCCAGTCTCTAGCTTAAAGCAGCCAAAATGTGGAGTCTACCAGCCGATGTAAACACTTTGGAAAAAGGCAAGTTCATAAGCTCTCCGTTTTGCTCATACTCATCGAGATATCATCGCAAAAATGAACTTAATAACTACCTCTTAAGTGTCGAAGTTGAAGGCAAAGTCTCGGCACTGATGGGTCTTGCTTCTGCCTCGGCAAAGTATCGCCACAAAGAGGAGTCTTCGATAAAGCGAGAGGTGTTTTCTTTATCCTTGTCAGTTTATGCAAGAAAAGGTTATCTTGTTCCTGAAGCTCATACGAAGATCTCGGACCAAGGAGTAGATTTCGATGTTGAAGCGATGGAAATTGGCATGGAAGATATCTTAATTGTCACTTCAGAACACGAGAGGTAAGCAAGTCGATTGACGAAAACTGATCTATATTAGATTCTCGCGCTCTTGGCAGCCTTTGATGTTAGTTTATTTAAATCATAGTGAGTGTGTCTTGTTTCAAAACTTCCCTTAAATCTTAACATGAGCGAGCTTAAGTGTATTAGTTCTTTCAGACTTCCAGCATGACAGCGTGCCCTTCTCATTGTACGTAGAGAGTTTTTTCTGCTTGCTTCTACAAACTAAACAGACCCAGCATAGAGGTGTCCGTACTAGATGTGGAATTAAATCAATTAACTGGGCACCTTGGAGCTCAATTAAGTCTCCAGTGAAACACGTCAATGAATTATGAGGTGACTTGCGAAGAAAGCAGAACGAAACAGGGTAAGGGGTTGGAGCAACTCACTAAAAAACTTTGGAGTTTATTGAAATTCGTCTTGTCCACTGATAAAGCATTCAGATATCATCCGAATATACACCTTTTTGAAGAATGACAAGAGACTACTTGCCTGTAGAAACCTGCACATACAATTAACTGATAATGAAAATTTCCACTACAATTAACTGATAATGAAATTTCTCTTGTTTAAATTTTAGAGAAGACAAGAAAACAGAGAATACAGTCGAGTTTAAAGTAAGAGTACTCTTCTTTTCTATCTCCGCAAAGTTGGAACATATTCACAAGAGTTCAGAAGTGAAGGGATTTGTCAGGATTGATCATTATTCATCTCAAACCGGAAAATGGAAGAATTGGGAATATGACGCTGATTCCTTCAATCAAGCAATGGCCAAAGTTAAAGACCTTGAGAAGAATATGTATAATATTCCAAACATTGTTAATCGTGATCCTTACACAAAGCTCTTCGCCCTCCGCATAGTGGTCACACCAAACGTGGGAGACACGGTTAAGGTAGTTGTGTGTCTTGAACTGGAAAAGATGTTAAACGAACTCCAAGTAATGTCTGTTTCATCTCCTAAGTACCGTATTGATTTCCAAGTTGACAAAATCAAACGGTCACTAAAAGACTTAAAAGACACTGCGATGGAAAAATATTTCTTGAAAAGCCTAGAGGAAATAAGACAAAGTAATTCTAGAGCCTGAGTTAACGATATTCTGTGTAATCATCCATCAAGAACTCGGAGAAAAAAATTATTCAAATTAAACGATATTATTGTTACTGGTGTACTCAAATAAAAGCAAGGCGTAGGTATGAGAAAAATCAACTTCTTACAAAATTAATATACCAGAAAATACGAGAAAAATCAAGTAAGGCACATTATGAGTTATCTTGTACGCTTTAGATGATACTGCTTACTTTTCTCTAAGACTTCCTTAGACAATAGATGCGGAGAATATAATGGTTTCTTTGAGGATCAGTAAATCAAAACTGCTTTTTAGCTGAGGTCAAAGTCGCACGAATTTATTTTGTTTATAAAATCAATATCAGTAAATTTAATTACATTAAAATGTATTTGGAACAAGCCTAGACAAACATCTTAGTGAATTATTATTAGTCAATAATTTAAGCCATCGGGTGTTTGTTCGGGTAAGAAAGCCGCAACAAAAGCCACTCACAAGCATGAGGAAAAATATGAAGTGCATTTTTTTATCCTTTGTGTTAGAACTGCGGGTGGGAAAGATCTGACAGGACTTGCTCCTATAGAACCAACGCTAGGTCTTCCGGTTTTTGTCGCCTTAGCTTAAACCTTGCAAGGCTATCCGAAAATCTTTAGATTCGCATCGAATTTCTGAAATAAATTTCACTAAGGAGTTTACAAACTAAGTATTCTTGGTCAACATGTCACTCACCTACCAGTGTCCGACTCTTAAACAATCAAGAATGTTTACCACGCTACATTAAAGGTTACTCAAAAGAAATCGGAATAATATAGAGTGTTTATTGACCTTTGTTTAAGAAATCAGGTATTCCGTGATTTGATCCTAAAGTATTAAATGAACCATTAAAGCTCTGTATTGTTACTTCTTCCTATTTTTGTCATCTTGAAATAACGGCTTTGTGGAGAGGTATTGTAAGAATGAATTAAATGATCTTCCTTTCTAGCCACAATAGAATACAGATTATCAAACAGGTTGATAAAATGAATACACTTTGTCCTTTCTTATCAGTCTCAACAAGGCACTGAAGGCAAACACTTGTTGTTTATTTCAAGGATAAAGACAAACGCGTTTTCGGGTGAGTATCCCCGATTTTTTTTTCTTTTCTTTTTTTTACATAGGGGCCATCTCCGTATATCTTCCCGTATCTATTTTAACGTTTTATTTTGTGCTCCTCAAGAAAGTTGCAAAAATACCTTTTCTTTCAAATTTTACGCAAGATGGTAAATCATTTCTCTACTGAAACGTTCTCAAGCTGCATTACACCTGGTTCCTAGCTCTCGGCAATAAAGGGCCGGCAAGATTGATTTCCTTTTAAGAAATCACCGAAATGGCCTTTAACAGCGATTTTTAGGTTAAGGTATCAGCCACCCTTCAGGAGCGTCCGCGCGCGGATCGCTGTAGCGTTAGTTGTTTTTATAAAAACCCCTATAAACCATATATTTTTTAAAAGCTTAATAATTCCAGATTATGGATTTGAACTAACAAAAATGATTTACTTAAATGTGTTGCGAAATTGGAACGCTTTGTGTAAAAGTACACGTCTCTATAAATCATGTTCCACTCCCGCCGGAAATAAACGGAAGAAAACAATTAACACCGCATTCGCTTCTCAACACGTTCCACTAAAAAACCGTGTCTCAGATTTTTGACAAGTGCGTTTGTTTTTCTTTTATTAGCAAATGAAGTTGGGGAAGGCAATCAGTCAACACTCCCTGTGGAAAAAAAGCTCTAGCTTTAAAATGAAAAGGAGTATTAAAATTCGCAGACACGGTTTTGTAGAAGAGATATATGGCATCACTCCGGCCAAATTTTAGCCAAATTGATTGAAAGGCTGCCGACTTGGAGTTCAAAACGTACGAGTCGATCGGCAAAATTTGCGTTCGGAGATAAAATAGAAAATACATTTTTGGCGGCATCCTACCTGGAATGAGATTATAACACCTAAATGTTTATTCTGATTGATATCAGAGAGGGATCAATTTTCTCTAACAATAGGACCTTGACAGGTAACATGTAACAGG